AGTTTAAATATGGCCTCAGAGACTTTTTAGCTGTGTGGCCCTGGACAAGTCACTTAAGCCTGTTTGCCTCAGTTTCCTCATCTGTAAAATGAACTGGAGAAGGCAATGGCAAACCAGTCCAGTATCTTTGCCAAAAAAAACCCAAATGGGGTCATGAATCATCAGATATGACTGAAATACCTCAATAACAACAACCCATTGATTTCAGAGTCAGGATGCTTCTACTCACAATAAATGTCGTTAGCGCTCACTCCCTTCTCAAATTACCACGTATGTACTTAGCTCTGTTCATGGCATATCATGTAATTAGTAGAGTGTAAGTTTTAGGTGAGGGGACAGTTTTCTTTTTATCTGGGCCCTCCTGGGGTCTTGTCTGTAAGAGATGCTGAATCAGTGTTCTAGGACTGGTTCTTTAATTCTTCCCTTTCCTTCTCACCTCTCAGGTCTGATCAGTCCCCATGTTCTTTTACCTCCTGATGATACAACATGGCTCCCATGTGGCCCTTCCTGTCTGTCCTCATCGCCATTATCCAACAAAGACCATTATTATTACTCTCCTGGATCATTAATGGAGCCTCCTAACAGGTCTTCCCAGCTCCACCCAATCCCCCTCCAATCTCCAGATGAGACATCCAGTCATGCCAATCACTGCAAACATTTTTTGTGATTCCCTGTTACTTGTTGAGTCAGTTCACACTTCTGTGCCCAGAATCTGAAGTCTTCTCCAATTTATAAATACTTTGACTTTCTAAGTCCATCCCTGTGGCCTGGCCCCAGTGAAGCTGGATTATATTCAGCCTTTTCAATGAGCCCCATTCTCTTGCCCTTCCTTTTCTTTCCTTCTGAGCCTATTGATAGGTCCCCCCACTCTATCCTCCCATCTTTTACAGCTTACTCAATTGCCACTGCCTCCAGGAAGTCTTCATAGAATCACAGAATTTCAGAGCTAAAAGGGACCTCAGTGGCCATCTGGTGTAAGCCATAACTGAACAGGAATCCGTCTACAACAGTTTCATCAAGTCTTTTCATGAAGATGGCCAGAGGGGGAGCTCACTCCCTCATGAAGTAGCTCATGACTCTTCAGGATGGCTATAAAGACCCATAATCGTGTAACCAGTAAACACTGATTAAGCATGTGCTATGGGGCAGATGCTGTGCTAGGAAGGGGTGAGTTTCCATTTTTCCCTCCCACCCATTTTTTGGTAGTTTGCACACCTTCCTGGGCCCTGCATCAACATCAGTAGCATCTTAATAGCTGATATTTATGGGATGTTTTAAAGTTTGGATGCATCATCTCATTTGACTCAACAATAATCCTGATCTACTAAATGGGGATCCATTTTACAGATGGAGGAAACTGAAGGCCAGGGAGGTCATGACTTGTCCAGAGTGACAGAATGAGTGAATGTCAGAGGTGGAATTTAAACCTGGGTATGCTTGACCCCAAACTCTGGACCTCTATCCTCTGCACCACTTAATTAGCTTCAGAGGGTATACACCTAGATAGTAAAGGGTCTGGTGCCCAGGCCTAGGGACCAAGAATGAGAAGGAATAGCCTCACCCACCTGAGAAGACACAGGTTCAGACATATATTAAACGGTGTCAGATGAAATTTATGACCAGAATGGATTACCACCGGCTGCAGGCTGACATGTTGGACAGGCTTTCCAACCTTAACACAATGAAGGGAATGGACTTCCTTACCTTGTGCTGCTGTGGCTAGAGCTCTGTGCTCGGATTTAGGAAGAAGAACTGTGTCCAAGATCTGTCTCAGATACTTCCTAACTGTGTGACCCTGGACAAATCACTTTAGCTCTGTCTACCTCAGTTTCCTCAACAGTAAAATGGGGGATAATAACCTCCCAGGGTAGTTGGGAGTATCCAATGAGGTAATACCTGAAAAGCATTAGCTGAATACTGAAAACTGCAAAGTGCTTAGTGCAATGCCTGGGATGTTATAGGCTGTTAATAAATTATTCCCTTCTCTTCCAATAATTAACATCTCTCTGATGAAGCATTTCCTGATCCACCTAGTGGTAAATGTTTGCCTTGAAATTGCTTTGATATATTTGGCACATTTCAGTTCCCTCCCATAGACTATAAGTTCTTGGAGGGCAGAAATTTTTCTTTTTGTCTTTGTATTCTATGGCCTGGCACAAAACAGGAACTTAACAAATATAATTACAAATGATTCTGTGACATTTTAATAATGACCACTCACTCAAGTCAGACTCAAGGGGGTGCACTTCCCTTGTCCCCTATAGATTATAAGCTGCTTGAGGGCAGGGGCATCCTTTTTTTTTTTTTTTTTGGCTTTGTATTCTATTCCAAGTGCCTAGCTTGGTGCTTTATACATAGTAGGTACTTATTAAATGTTCATCAAATTGAATTAAACTGGTCACTTAGAAGCCAAAGGTGCCATATTTCCATTTCTCGCTTCCTGAGTCTATCTAGGTGCCCAGTGCTTGCCTGACTTTAATTTGATTTATGACAATGGCAGTTGATGTTTCTTTCAATTTACTGAACCCAATTGTATAATAAATAGGAGACCCAGGAGGTTAATTTTTACAGTTTAATGCCTATCCTGGAGTTTGATGGAGTTTACTGAATCTTTCATTTAAACAAAAGTAACAATTTATCACTTTGAGACTTGTGCTCCTTTCAAATCATTAGAGACATCGCCAAGCTCGTCTGGCCTTATTATGGGCTGGTTTAATGGCCTCAGTTTATGGGCTACCCAATTAAGAATCAGATACTTACTTTTCTGCAGTGAGGTAATTTGGTTCTGCAGCAGCTATAAGGAGGAGAAGAAAGAAGAAAGCTCAACATTTCTGTTGTTTTATAATGGCATGAGTCATATCACAGCCCTTACCGACGTGGCAGATTTCTGCCATGTTGGGTGAGCTACACCAAGGAGGTGTGCGCAGAGAGTGGCACCAATCTGCTAAAGCTTTCAGATGGGAAGCCAATTGCCCTCAGGGCTTGGGAGTATCTTATGTGCTTCCCTGGGTATCTGTCTTGGATGTTGACCTGACCTCAGCATCAAGACATCAGCTTCCACCTGGCCACCATGACCAGCTCTCCAGGGAATGCCTCTCTAGCGTGTTATCTTTATCCTCCTAGTAGGTTATTTATTCTCTCCAGCCCACACCTAATCTTCCTCAGTGTGTGAAGGAAAATAATTCAGTGGAAACCAGATGGTATCAAGATTTTCAAAAACTAACTGTTTATAGTTTGTCTATACTTTGCCCTCACCTTGCCAGACCTGATTTCTGAGCTACTTAACATGAATGAAATCATTCTCAGCCTGTTTGAATCTTAGACAGATATGCAAAAGAGATTTATGTCCCAAACCTTCTTACTAATATACAAAAAGGTTTTTTTTCCTTTCTCTTCTCTTTTTCTTCCTTCCTTCCTTTTCTTTTCTTCTCTTTTTTTTTTACAGTTTTACACTATTTACACAAAGATTTACACAATGTGAATATAGGAAAGGCCTGCAATCTTGGCTGTATAGGAAACTCAGGTTGTAGAAGCTCCTTCTACTAACATCTACGGCTTCGAATAATACCCTAGGTCTTACCCTCAGGCACATAGTGGTTAAATAGCACCCCTCCCCACCAAGGTCATGGCCAGCCTGTAAATGTCAGAAGTAGGATTTTTTTAACTCAATTTTTTTCAATTAACATGCTTTTTCTCTTCCTCCCACCTCCCTCCTCCAAGTCTTAATCTCTATAAGCTCAGCTTTGTAGCCACTGGTCAACACTGCCTCTATTAAAGCATCTAATATCATCCTTGTGCAGAGGCCAGGGTAATTTTTTTTTCAGTAAAGTCCTAATTTTAGTGTATGTACTGCTGAAGTGAGCACTTAGTAAGATTTCTTGGAATTTACCAAAAAACTACTAGGAGGCAGCATGCCAGTGGAGAGAGGGTCAGGAGAGCGAGGAAAGCCCAGGTTCAATGCTTATCCTCCACTCTTAGGATGGTGCCATCCCCAGAGCAGCTGTCTGCAGGGTGGCACAGCTGGAGGTCTGCATGCTTAGAGGGAATTGACCTGGTCCGCACCAACGAACCCTCACGTCTGGAATAAAAAACATCCAAGCTGCAACAACGAGGTCATCAGAGCTGTCAATGAAACCATTGGAAACCGCCTCAGCCCTGTCAGTCTACTCACGATCGGTGATAGGGTCACGTTAGCCCTCCCTCCCTCTACAGATACACGCATGTAAACACACCCTGATTCTACATGTCAACGCTATTTCATTTTAATAAAGAGAAGTCACAGTTGAACAAAACTATTTTTAATGCCAACCAGGGCGGACCATGGATGAGCCGGGGGAGTGGGGAGAGGAGTATGAGTATGTCCCTTTCCTCCTCCGTTCCATGCCCCAGGTCAGTCAATGTCTGCAGACTCCTAGGGGCCTGGAAGGCTCTGTAGGAATCCCATTCTTAACCACACTCAGTCTGCATTCTAAGACCACTCTTTAATAGCCAGTGGTAATCCAAGCATGATCCACCCTCTATTCCTTCCTGCCTCGCCACCTCCCACTAGCCTCCTGATCTCACTGTATTGGAAACACAACCTGCCCAAGCAAACAGAAGCAGTTGGATCTGCCTGGTTCTTGATTTTGAAGGTTGTCTCTTTTTAACTTTGGACAGCTGCCCAGTAATCAAATGCAACCCACTGACGAGATGCTAGCTGGCTAGGGAGTGATAAGGGCCCAATTCTGACCCAGGCTCTGATTTCATGGGCAAGCTGCCACTTCTCCTTCAGACGAGCGATCCGTGAGAAATGTCCAACTTTGTGGAACCAGCGGTGATGAGGGGGTGCACCGTTGCTTGAGATTCACTAGGAAGAGTATGAGTACACACACACACACACACACACACACACACACACACACACACACGCTGATCAGGGCCTTGCCTTCCAACAGGTTGACATCCGGCATGTGGGACATAATTTCCAACCCTGATGCAAAGGACAGAGTAGGATTCCTTACCTACACTTTGTGTTGTAGCAGCTAAGGGAACCATGTTCTGAAGGGCCAGGAGACTCTTGACTGGAGGCCTTGGAGGTTTTGGTGGTGGACAGCCAATGGTCTCAATAGCTGGCAATGGTCTTATTTTAGGGACCTGGATATCCCTGCCAGCAACCTGTGTTTCTGGGAAGAGAACGGAGGTCATGTCAGTTATGAATACAACCCATCAGGTCAAGGAGCCTTTCTTAAGCCCCTACTATGTACCAGACACTGAAAACCCAGTTCCTTCCTTTAAGGAGTCTGACTTCTATGAGGGGAAGCAACATACATACAAATAAGGGCAACATGGAAAAGTAGACCAAGTGAGTAAAAAGTGATCTCTGAGAGGGGAGGACAGCCTGAGTACCTGAGAAGTGACCCAGGTCAGGAAAGGGCTCCTGTAGAAGCTGTCACTTCAACTGAGTCTGGGAGGGAGCTAGGGGTTCTAAATGGCAGAGGTGAAGAGGGAGAACATATGCAGTCTGTGCAAAGATGAGAGTCAGGAGATGACTTGTTGTTCCAAATCTGTACTAGAAACTTGGTTCTAGAAATTTCTAAAAACTAAAATTGCCCAGAACCCTAAATTCTAGAAATCCAGAAAATTCTAAGAGCCTCCCCAAATCTAGAAATTCTAAAAAAAATCCCTAGAAATCTAGAGGTGGAGGCAGCATGGTAGAGTGGATAGAGCACTAGCCAAGAAACCAGAAAAACATCAGAAAAAAGGGAGAGCATATGCAGTCTTTGCAAAGGTAGAGAGTCAGATGACTTGTCATTCCAGACCTGTCCTATTTGGCTCTAGGAATCTCCAAAAACTTCCAGAAGCTAAAAATGTCTAGAACATTGAATTCTAGAAATCCAGAAAATTCTAAGAACCTCTCCCCTGCCCCCTCCATCTAGAAATTCTATAAACATTTCCCTAGAAATCTAGAAGTGGAGGCAGCATGGTAGGGTGGATGAGCACTAGCCAAGAAAGCAGAAGACTTGCATAAGAAACAGTACCTGTCCTAAGGTCACAGAGGTGACAAGTGTGTCTGCATTTGAACCTTCCCTCTGGCTTACTAATTCTATAACCATGGGGGCGTCTCTTGACTTTTTATCATCCTCAGGTATTATGGGGAAAGTAAAGCAGATAGCTGTAGAATCCAGCTCACAGGAGTGTTGGGAGGAAAGCGTTTTTCACCTTTCAAACTCAACTCAACACAATGTATTGTCTGTTACTTTTCTTCGTTCTTCTGTCTTTCCCCCTGTAAGTTCTAGGTATTCTCTTACCTCTCTATCTGCTGGAGCATGTAGCAGGGTGCTATGCACACAGTAGGTGCTTTATAAGTAAGGTGTGGGCTGGCCAAAGAGAATGCATGAATGAATAAATTGAATCTAAATTATAAAGTTCTATACGAATGTGATTTATTATAAAACTTCCAGGATCTTAGTTTTCTCATCCATAAGATGAGGATATCATGCTTGCCTCACGTGGTAGTGAAGGAAGGGTTTGGTGAGATATCAGTTATTATTGTTAATAAACAACATAATTTGACTGGAAATTAGATGCTTTCTTTCCCTCTTAGGAAGGAGGTCAGGGAAAGTAAGAAAAAGGGGCACTCAATCAAGTAGATTTTGGGGGGAAAGATCTCACTCAGTGCAAATGCACTCATCAGATGACCTCTATAAAGTGCTGTTCCTCATCCCCAAACCCCCTACACTGCATGTACATATACACACACATCCTCACCCCACCCTCCATTCCAAATAGTTAAAAGGGAACTTGGTGTAGTTGTAGTTATGATCTGATTGAGGTAGTTAAGCCAGGTAGGCTTTTTAAACCAACCAGCAAAGGAAAAGAGATATTGAACCCCTCTGGTAGAGCAAAGAAAATTCATCAAACAAAACAAAAAAACAAACAGATGGTTTCCTAGATTATAATCACCCATACTGACAATGCAAGATCCCAAAGGAGAATGGCTCACTTCACGGGGGGAGGAAAGGGACCTTGTTAGCAGGGCGTGGTAGTGGAAGGATGGGGTGGGTCAAGCAAAGGCTACGGGGTCATTTGTCAGGTGTGTAGTAGACACTCACAGTAAGCTTGTGGTCTTCTAAAACCCTCAGATCTTTTTCAAAATGAAACATTCCCATATTAAAATTTATTAAAGTTCAATTTGGCCACTTTTCATGACTTACTCTGTACGTACTCTGTCCTATGTTCTGGGAGATAAACAAAGAAACCGCAGGGCATGGTTCTTGCCTTGGTGGAGTTGAATCCTCACTATGGGCTGAGCCAACCTCTTAGCTTACATAACCCTCATTATAGTCAGGTCTCATGTTTCTACAGCACCTTAAAGTTTACAAAGGACTTTCCTCATAAGGAGGAGGTAAGGAGTGCAATCATTATTACCCTTACAGTTGGTGAGACTCAAGAGAGGTTAGGTCGAGAGGATTTAACCCATGACTCTGACTCCAGGTTGAGCTCTAAGCCTAACTGCATCACCCTAATATTTCAGAGCTGGAAGGGACTTCTGGGTCAGCCCATCCCAACTGACATGAAAAAATAGAGAATCCCCTTAAGTGTGTAGGTGATAAGTGCTTATCAAGCCTCCATTGAAGGGAAACCCATTCCCTCTTGAATCCATCCCACTTCTGCCTCTTAACTCTGTCAGTATGAGAAATTATAAGGAAGTGTGGTATGGTGGATGGGGATGTGCTTGTCATCAGGAAAATACAGCTTTGAATCCACTTCAGTGACTCACAAGCTGTGTGACCCCAGATAAGTCACTCACCTCCCTAAGCTTCAGCCCCTCATCTGTAAAATGGGGACATAGGACTAGATGGCCTCCAAGCTTTCCTCCAGGTTTAAACTCATGATCCTATGATCAAACTTTGGTTGATTGAGTCCTTCATTTTACATAAGGAAACTGAGTCCCATAGAAGTTAAGGCTCCTTAGGTATTAAGTGGCAAAGATGGAATTTGAACTCAGGTTCTTTGAATCCATCCCCAACATTATTTTACTGGCATCATCAGAATGATACCTCCTATATGTCAGGGTCACTCTCAATTTCAGCACAGCCATGAGTCTCACTTTTAAGTTACCATTCCGATAAACTTAGGTTGGGATGAAAATTGGGGAGGGGGTCCAGGGAGAGGGCAAGAGGGGATATGATCCAAGCTTCTTGAAGCTTGGACTCTCCACCAAATAGGAATGAAGTTAGATAGGTGAACTAAAATGTCTCCATTGGTGTTGCAAGCAAACCTCCTTTTCATTCAGTCTTGTTCAAAATGGCGGAAGTTTTCCTAATGCCTTTTTCTTAAACCATGAGGTCATGAAGCATATGGCTAATAAGAGGTAATGCATGGTATAAAGAAGAATTTGGAGGAGGAGGAAGAGGACCTGTTTGAATCACAATTCTACTAGTTACTTCCTGTAAGACCTGGGGGCAAAGAACTTTTTTCAGCCTGTTTCTTTCTTTCTAAAATGGGGGTGGGGGTAGGGAGAGTGGATTGAGATGATCTAAAACATCTGATACTTTTTTGGGGGGGAAAATACAAAAGAACTCCATTTCCCCAAATAAGAAATGTCTAAAACGACATACCTTGAGGATCTAGAGCTAACTCATTGAGGTCTACTGATTCATAAATAGGCAGTGATGGGTTTTTTTCTCCATTCTTCCTATGATTTGTATCTTCTTGGCTTGTGGAACTGCTTAAAGAAGGAATCTTAAATAATTCTTTGAAAGAGGCAAATGTTCCTGTCTCAAAAGACTTTTTGATAGAAGCCACCATTGTCCCTAATCTTCTGTCACTGGATGGCAGAGGAATTTCAGAAGGATCTTTGAAAGAGGTCAGTGTTATCCCTGGTCTCCTGTTACTCAATGAACAAGGTATATTAAAAGACACTTTGATGGAAGACACTGTTTGCTGCAGTCTTCTCTCATTGGCTAAAGAAGGAATCTCAGAAAACTTCCTGATAGGGGTGATTGTTGGCTTTGGGTTTCTGTCAGTAGATGAAAAAGGAAACTCTTGGAAAGGGGTAAGTGCTGTCTCTGGGCCCTTGTCACTGGATGAAAAAGGTGTCTCAGGAGACTCTTTGATAGTGGTAAGTAATGTCCCTGGTCTTTTGTCAGTGGGTAAAGGTCTCTTAAAATATTTTTTGGCCAAGGACCCTGTTGGCCTTGGTGTTCCATCAGTGAATGACAAAGGAATCTTAGAAGTATCTTTGAAGGAGGTCGGTGTTGTCCCTGGCCACCTGTCATTGAGCACAGAAGGTATCACAGAAGAATCTCGAAAAGAAATGACTCTTGGTTCTGATCGACTGTCAGTAGATGAAGAAGGACTCTCAGAAGACTCTTTGACAGAGGTAAGTGTTGTCCCTTGGTTTCTGCCATTGTCTAAAGAAGGAATATCAGAAGACTCTTTGAAAGAGGCAAGTGTAGTCTCTGGTCTTCTGTCAATGGAAGTGGAAGGAATCTCAGTAGGCTCTTGGACAGGAGTAAGTGTCCCTGACTTCTTGTCACTAGCTGAAGAAGGAATCTCAGAAAACTCCTGGACAAGGGCTAGTGTGCCTAGTTGCCTGTGAGTGGGTAAAGGAAGAATCTCAGAAAAGTCTTGGATGGGGGAAAGACTTACCCCTGGCTTCCTGTTATTGAGTAAGGAAGAGATTTCAAAAAACTCTTTGAGAGAACCCACTCTTGGCCATGGTCTTCTGTCACTGGATAACAATAGACTCCTCAAAGATTCTTTCACTGGGGCAAGCATTCTCCCTGGGTTCTTGTCATTAGATGAAGATGAAATCTCAGAAGACTCTTTGGAAGGGGCTAGTGTTATCACTTGCTTTATTTCAATGGATGAGGAAGGAAAATCAGAAGATTCCTTGACAGGGCTAAGTGTTGTCCCTGGTTTCTTGTCATTGGCTGAAGAAGGAATCCCAAAAGACTCTTTGTAAAGGGATAGTGATGTCCCTTGTCGTCTCCCAGTGAATGAGGGAGGAATCTCAGAATATCCTTTGATGGGGACAGGTGTTGTCCCTGGGCTCCTCTCACTGGTTGAGGGTGGACTCTCATAAGACTCTTGGACAGGAGCTAGTCTTGTTCCTGGCTTCCTGTCCCTGGTTGCAACAGGAATCTCAGAAGATTCTTTGAGAGGAGCGCATTTTGCCCCCGAGGTTTTGTCACTGGAAAAAGAAGTAATTTTAGAAGTTTCTTTGACTGGTGTAAGTGCTATCCCTACTCTTCTGTCTGTGCATGAGGAAGGAATTTCAGAAGATCCTTTGAGAGGAATAAATGTCCCTGGTCTCTTGTCACTCGATGAAGATGGTATCTCAGAAGACTCTTTAACAGAAGTCACTGTTGGCCTTGGTCTTCTGCCGCTTAATGACAAAGGAATCTTAGAAGTATCTTTGAAAGAGGCCAGGGTTGTCCCTGGTTTCTTGTCACTAGATGAAGGAGGTATTACAAAAACATCTTTTAAAGAAGCCACTGTTAGCCCTGGACTCCTGTCACCAGATGAAGAAATAATAACGGAAGACTCTTTGAAAGGAATTAGTATTGTTCCTGGCCTTCTTTTGGCTGATGACAAAGGAATCTTAGAGGGCTCTTTGAAAGGTGTAAGAATTATTCCTGGACACTTGTCAACAGCTGAAGAAAGTGTATTAGAAGACTTATTGAAAGAAGCCACTGTTGGCCCTGATCCTTTGTAACTGGGAGATGAAGCAATTTCAGAGGACTTTTTATAAGAGTCCAGTGTTGACCCTGGGATTCTATCACTAGATGAAGTAGAAATCTCAGAATAATCTTTCACAGAGACAAGTATTGGTTTTGGACTCATGTCAACAGATGAAGGAATCTCAGAAGTTTTTCGGACAGACATACATGTTGGCTCTGGCTTCCTGTCATCTAGTGAAGAAAGAATCTTAGAAGAGTCTTTGAAAGAGACAAATATGGTCACTAAACCCATTTCATGAGAAGAATGACTCTCATAAGATTCTGTGAAAGAGGTAAGTATTATCCCTGGGCTTCTATCAGTGGATGTAGCAGGCATTTCAGAAGGCCCTTTTAAAGATTTAAGCATGCTACCTGGATTCATGTCACCAGATAAAGGAATCACAGAAGATTCTTTGAAAGAGACCGGCATTGGCTCTGGCATTCTGTCACTCAAGGATGGAGGTGTTTCAAAAGACTTTTCACTAGACATCAGTGTTGGTTCTGGGCTTGTGATGAAGTCTGATAAAGATTTAAGTATGGTACCTGGATTCACATGACCAGTAAGAGAAATCTCAGGCGACTCTTTGATGGGCTTAAATGTTGGCCCTGTATTACTGGCACTTGATGAAGAAAGATTCTCAAAAGATTCTTTGAAGGAAGCCATCCTTGGACCCAGTGTGTTACTGAATGATGGAGGAATCTCAGAAGACTCTTTGAAAGAAGCCACCCTTGGTCTTGGTATATTATGGTATGACGGATGAATCCCAGAAGATTTCTTGCAATATTCTAGTGTTGCTTCTGGGCTCAAGTGACTGCATGAAGAAGGCATCTCAGAGGATTCTTTGAAAGAGGTCCATCTTGGCCCTGATCTTCTGTTACTGGATGACGAAGGAACGTCAGAATATTCTGTTAAAGAGTCAAATATTTTCCCTGGGTTTATGCCACTGGATGAAGGTGTATTAAAGGACTCTTTAGAAAAGGAGAATGTCATCATTGGTCTCTTGTCACTGAATGAATGAGGAAGCACATAGGACTCTTTGGCTCTTGGTCTCCTGTTCCTGTACATTGAAGGAATCTCAGAGGATTCTTTGAAAGAAGCAATTGCTGTCTTTGAACTTCTTTCATTGGATGAGGAAGGAATCTCAGCACACTCTTGGAAAGAGGCCAGTGTCATCCCTGGACTTCTGTCCCTGGACAAAGATTGAATCTCAGAGGATTCTTTGAAAGGAACATATGATGTTTTGTATCTCCTGTCCTCAGACAAAAAAGGGAAGTCAGAAGATTCTTTGAAAGGATCCAATGTTGCCCATTGACTTCTGTCACTGGATGAAATTGGAAGCTCATAGCACTCTTTAGAAAAGTCAAGCATTGCTCTTGATTTCATGTTCCTGTATGAAGAACGAAGCTTAGAAAACTCTTCAAAAGAGCCAAGTTTTCTTCTTGGTCCCCTACTCTTGGACAAAGGAGGAGTCTCTAGAGATTCTTTGGAAGAGACGAGCATTGTCCCTGGGCTTTGGTCACTGGATGAAGAAAGAAACCCAAAGGATTCTTTGGAAAAAGCAGCTGTTGTCACTGAGTTTATATCTCTGGAGAAAGAATTGCTTTCTGAAGATTCTTTAAATGATGCCAACGTTAGCTTTACTCTTCTGTCACCAGATGAAGAAATCTCAGAGGACTCTTTGGCAGAGTTCTGCATTTTCCATGGTCTCTTGTCCCTGGACACAAAAGGAGTCTCAGAAAATTCGTTGGAAGAGTCTAATGTTATGCCTGATCTCTTGACCCTGGACAAAGGAGGAATATCATAAGACTTTCTGTAAGGGGCCAATGTCGTGCCTGGCCTTTTATTACCAGATGAAGAAGCAAGTTCAGCGTACTGTTTGGAAGGGTCCAATGTTGTACCTGACCTTTTGTTACCAGATGAAGAAGGGAGTTCAGAGGACTCTTTGGAAGGGTCCACTGTTTTTCTTGGTCTCTTGTCATTGGGCAAAGGATGGTTATCATAATATTCTTTGAAAGACTTCAGCATTATGCCTGGGTTTCTCTCATTGGATGAAGAGGAAAGTTTGGAGTATTCTTTGGAGGAATCCACTGTTTTCCCTGGTTTCTTGTCTCTGGACAAAGGATGAATCTCATCCAATGTTGTGACTCGGCTTCTGTCATAAGGAAGTTCAGAGCACTCTTTGAAAGAAGCAAGTGTTGTCTTTGGTCTCTTGTCCATGGATGGAGAAGTAATGTCTGAAGATTCTCTAGATGACACCAGTGTTACTCCTGGACTTCTGTCGCTTTGTGAAGAAGGCATCTTATAGTATGCTTTGAGAGATGACGGTCTCCTGTCCCTAGATGAAGAAGGAATCTCACAGAACTCTCTGGATGGAGCCATTGTTTTCCTTGCTCTCTCATCCCTAGATGAGGAGGGAATCTCAGAGGACTCTTCAAAAGTAGCCAGAGTTTTTCCTGACCTCCTGTCCCTGGATGAATAAAGAATCTCAGAAGACTCTTTGGAAGACGCTCGTATTTTCTTTGGTCTGTGTCTGGATGGAGAAGAAATCTCAGATGACTTTTTAAAATATATTGGTTTGGCACCTGAGCTTTTGTCATTGGATAATGAAGGAATCTCAGATGTCTCTTTGAAAGACGCCAGTGCTGTTCCTGGACTTTTGTCTTCAGAGGAAGAAGGAATCTCAGAAGTCTCTTTGAAAGAGGAAAGTGTTGACCCTGGGCTCCTGTCACTGGAAGGAGAAGAGATTTCAGAAGATTCCTTGAAAGAGGCAACTATTAGTCCATGGATGATTAGGCGCTTCTGGGAAGGAAGTGTCCACTTGGGATTTCTTCTAGGTTTTGTCATTTGGCTTTGTGGGGTGGTCCCTAAAGCACTTTTTTGGCCTCCGTAAGGGAGGGATCTCCTTGAATGCTTTGCAAGGGATGCTGTTGCAGCCTCTGCCCCACCGTATTGAGCCACCACTTTCTCCCAATTGTTCAGAGTGTTCCTAAAGTGATTTTTCAGCTTTACCTCCTCTGATTTGGTCATCTTTGGGTGTGACTGGGCATTGTCAGAAACCAGGGGGTACTTCATAGCATATTCTGGAGGGGAGACATTCTTTCCTGGTGCTTCAGGGGATATGGAACATTTCTCTCCCTCAAAGGTCCTTTTTGGTTTGAATTTAGAAGGGTCAGAAGATTGTGAATTGCCAATGGGACAAAGTTGTGTCAGTTGCATTTCAGTAAATGAGTCTGAGTTTCTGTTAGTCAAATCTTGGTGGGCAATGCCAGAATTATACACAGGCTGTAGTTTGATGGATCTTGGAATGTCATAAATGCTCTCTTCATTTTGGAGTTGGGTCTGAAACATTTTCACATTTCTTAGCGCTTCCTAAGGCAAAAGAAAAAAAAATCAATTTCATTAGTATGGGAAGAGGTCAACCCGAATCTTAAACTTTGAGGGGTGTCATGAGCAAAAATGTAATACTTTCAAGGAACTAAAGCTACTCTGCTATTTTAGCTGGGAGCAATATTGCCCTTGTTTGTGATGGGATGAAACTAATTTGGCTTAGCTTGCAATCATCCTTCAGCCCTTAGTCATTTTCCACCCCCCCACCCCAAGATAGTCACCATTAAATACCTTGAATTTATATTAGCTTCATGTCACAAAGCACTAACTGGGTAGAAAAGGCCATTTAACTTAACAGGATCTCTGTAATATAGCTGATATTCCTGTAATAGTGCTTTGATAGTATTCTTCCCCTCCTCAGAAACCTTCACTAACTCTCCAGTGCCCAAAGCTCATATTCTTTATTCTGGAATTCAAAGCCCTCCACAAAATGACCTTCTATGACCTTTTCAACTATATCTTTCATGACATCTTTCCCTAGAGTTTTTCCATTGAAGACCTGATGATAACCTGTTAGGCATGTTGAGGAGAAATTCATGTTCATTCAATTATAGGCTAGAATAGATCCTGAGGTCCCTTTAAGTTCTAAGATTACAGAATTCTCAGAATTCCAGGCAAGTCTTCTCACTTCCCCTTGAGCATGTCCTGTGGTTTCTTTTTCTCAGATACTTTCCCCTTCACCTTCAATGCCACCCCCTCCAAATCCCATCAAAATCCTATCTATTCTTCAAGGCTCTGCTCAAGTCCCATCTCCTGTAGATTTCTTTTGACACACTAGCTCAGTGTCATCTATTTCTATGAACATAAAAAAGAGTAAAATGTGAAGAATGTTTTGTAAACTGTGAAGCAAAAGTCAGTAGTTACTGTCCTCATCATCAATATCATCATATAGTCACTTACTGTCTGTCATTTGTTAATAAAATAATGATGCACATTATCGTAGCCAATGGTTCTTCAATATTCTCTCTCTCTCTCTCTCTCTCTCTCTCTCTCTCTCTTTCTCTCTTTCTGGCTTGGCAAAAATTTTATATTATCTATCTTTCCCATTATCCCCCCCCAACTTAACAAAACAAAAGCCCCCCCAAATAAAACCTCCATCACAAATATGCATAGCATAATAAAATAATAAGCAATAATAAGTATAGCTAATTAATAAACATTTAATAAGTGCTTACTATATTCCAGGGACTGAGCTAAATGCTAGGGACACAAAGAAAGGGAAAAAAACTGTCCCTTCCCTTTAGAAGCTCACAATCTAATAAGTAATACATTATGCAAACAACTATGTACAAACAAGCTATATATAGGATAAGTAGGAAATTAAAAAAGGAGGCACTTGAATTAAGACTGATTTGGAAAAGGCTTCATGGGAAAGATAGGATTTTAGCTGAGACATGAAGAAAACCAAGGAAGTCAGAAGGTGGAAAGAGGAAAGATAGAGGGAGAATATTCAAAGAATAATAGATCAGCCAGTGAAAATTCTCAGAACTGAGAGGGTTGTCTTGTTTGAGGAAGAGTGAGAAGGCAAGTGTCTCTATATATTTATAGGGGAGAGGGGTGTAAGGTGTAAGAAGATTGGAAGGGTAGGAGGAAGCTAGATTATAAAGGGCTTTGAACACCAAACAGGATTTTATATTTGATTCTGAAGTTTATAGGGAGCCACTGGAGGGGTGTGTGTGTGTGTGTCTGTGTGTGACAGGGCTGGAGCTGCACCTTTAGGAAAATCACTTTGACAGTTGAGTGGAGAATAGGGAGAAACTAGTGACAGGAAGACCAACCAGCAGATTATTGCAGTAGTCCAGGCATGAGGACATGAAGGCCTATACCAGAGTGATGGAAATATCACAGGAGAGAAAGGGGTGTATTCGAGAGATATTGCAAAGGTAATATTGACAGGCCTTAGCAACAGATTGGTTGGGGGGATAATAGACAGTGATGAGTTGAAGATGACGTGTAGGCTGTGAGCCTGAGGGACTGAAAAGATGGTGGCACTCTCAAAAGTAGTTATTTGGAAAAATCTGGAAGAGGAAAGGGTTTTGGGAAAAAATCAGTTCAATTTTTGACATGTTTAGTTTAATATGTCTACAAGACCTTTACTTTGAGATATCTAATAGGCAGTTGGACATGTGAGAATCAAGGTCAGTAGAAAGGGTAGGCCTGGATAAGTAGATTTGAAAATTATCAGCAGAGGAATGATATTTAAATTCATGGGAATTGATGAGATCACCATGTAAAACGGCATAAAACAGAGATGTGAAACACATAGATTGCAGCCCACAAAACATTCCCAAGTGTGTTCTGAACCAGATTATAATGCAATTGGTAAACATTTAACAAAATAAATGAAAATCCAATAAAGTATAGACAACGTTACATTTTAAAGCTAAGACAGTATGTGGTCCATAGGAATCCTTACTTATAGATTATTGGATCCAATTTTTATTTGAGATTTACATCACTTGTATATAGAAAGAAGAGGGACTAGTACAGAACTCAGTGGGACACCTCTCCTAAAACATGCCCAGGTCAGTGAGTACAACCTGGGTGAAGATTCAGCAAAGTTGCCTTAGAAGGAGTGAGATAGATAGGAAGAGAATTAGGAGAGAGTGGTATCCCCAAAACCTAGAAATAAGGCAGTATCTATGTGAAGAAGGTGATCGACTGTGTCAAAGGCTGCAGAGAGGTCAAGAACAATGAGGAAAGAGAAGAGGCCATTGGATTTGACAATTAAGAGAGCATTAGTAACTTTGGAGAGAGAAGTTTTGGTGGAATGAGGTTAGAAGCCAGGCTGTAGAGTGTTCAGAAGAGAGTGAGAGCAGAGGAAGTGGCAGTCCTCATGTTAGATGACTTTCCCAAGAAGTTTAGTCACAAAAAGCAGGACAGATATTGGATCATTGTTAATGGGGATGGAAGGATCAAGTGAGGGTTTTCTGAGGATGAAGAAAAAATAGGGATGTTTGTAGACAGTAGAGAAGCAGCCGTTAAACAGGGAGAGATTGAAGATAAGTGAGAGCATGAGAATGATAGAAGGGGCAAGATAGAAACAGAGCCAGGATGAAATAGGATCACTTGTGCAGACAGAAGTGTTGGCCTTGGCAAGGAGAAGAGTCACCTTTTCACATGAAGCAGGTTGGGGCCAGGTTGTTTTATAAGCTAAATAAAGGAGTATATATTTTATCTTAGAGCCAATGGGGAGACATTGGAGTTGGTTGAATAAAGGAGTCATATGGTCAGATACACTTCTAAGGAAAATCAATTTGATAGTTTTCCTTCTTGAAATGTGATATCTATGGCTAATATGGAAATATGTTTTGTGATATGAAGTTATGCAAAACATATTTCCATATTAGCTATAGATAGCATGTTTCAAGAAATTATAAAGGAAAACTGCCCAGATATTGTAGAACCAAAGGGCAAATTAGAAATTGAAAGAATCCCACAGTCACTTTCCTGAAAGAAACCCTAAAATGAAAACTCTCAGGAATATTATAGTCAAAATTCAGAAAACTCAGATCACGGAGAAAATACTTCAAGTACCAGAAAGAAATGATTCAAATACTGTGGAACCACAGTCAGGATCACACAGGATTTAGCAGCCACCATCTAAAGGAATGAAGGGCTTGGAATGTGATATTACAAAAAGCAAAGGATTTAGGAGCAAAATTGAGTATATTCCTAGAGGGATGGATATTTAATAAAATAGAAGACTTTCAAGCATTACTGATGGAAAAATAAGAGTTGAATAGAAAATATGACATTCAAACAAAAGACTCAAGAAAAACATAGAAAAGTCAACATGAAGGAGAAATCATAGGGAGCTAAACAATGTAAAACTGTTTACATTTTTTCTTTAGAGGCAATTCGGGTTAACTATCTTGCCATGAGTCACACATCTAGTAAATGTCTGAGGCCAGATTTGAACTCGGTTCTTCTTGACTCCAAGTCCAAAGTTCTTCCTCACTGGGCCACCTGGTTAGTTACCTACTTTTTGTTGTACTGGGCTTCTCATGACCTTATAGAGCAGTTGAAGGATAGTAAAACACTTTACAAATATTATTTCATTTTATCCTCACAATAGCCCAGAAGTAAAAGCTGTTATTTTCTCTATTTTATGGGAGACAATCATAATATTGCCAGAATTTAACTGGGTAATTTTTCATGGTTCCTGCCAGGCCTTTACAGCTACTGTGCTGGTCTCTAAGCATACCACATTGCCGTTGTCTAGTTTCCTTGGTGGTGTTCCTTTTCTTTGCTCTTCCACTCCCCCTCTCATTATATCCAGTTGAGTTTTGAGAGGATCACCACCACCACCACCATCATCAACATCGTCATTGTCGTCGTCGTCATCATCATCATCATCATCAACATCACTATTTTTCAGGCCAGTTTTCTCTCCAGTTGACCAATGACTTTGACATTGGATAACAGTTACCACAAAGCAGAAAAATTATTTTAAGAAATAATCATTAACCATTAAGTTCAGCATTCTTTTGTCTAGAAACATTGCTTTCCTTAATTTTCATATCAAGAAAACTTGAAATCATCCTCAAATACTCATATTACAATTGAGCTTCCTGGAGTGGAGAAAAGCTATTCTGTAACAGATTTGTTCAGGAGGTGATGATTTTGTTGCCACCCCATGAATCCAAGACAAATGAAAAGTGACTCGCAGTTCTTTTGGGTCC